TTCATGGGGTGTGACATAATTGGACCCCTATTGAAATGTGGGATTTATTTGTTTTTTGATGTTTATTGGGATTCTATAAATCAATCCTAAAAGAATGTCAATAAACTCAAGCATGCTAGGTTTCATTTTTCCTTATTAGTTCTTAGATTGTACAAAGAGTGAAAAGAAATTTATTCTTTTTATTTATTGCCCCTTTACAATTTTATGGATGATTTCTTTTTAAATATTTAATGTGGCATTAGTGAATTTTTGAATATTTAGGTAATTCTATTTTTGTTTTTCTGTTATTCTACATGCGTGTTTTTCTGTTATTCTACATGCTTGATTTTAAGAAAATTACTAGATAGTAAAGACTTAACTTATCGCATCAATACATTAGATTTGTAAAATAATAAATTTATTGTCCCTTCTAGATTGGTTTGTGTTCTTCCTTCAACATTTGAATAATTGAATTTTTCTTTTGTGAATTTATCTAGTTTCATTTTGTATATTATAAGTTTTCTAGCTTGGGTTATTACACTCAGTACTTGCATTTTATTATTTTTGAAAAGGGTGACTGTATATATAATGGTAGTACAATAATTCACAAGGTGTGAGAGCAACGGCAGCCCACGAAATGGGTGCTCAGGTTACATGAAATATCAAAAGGCATCCCATAGGTTGTGCGCTCCAGATATAGCATATTTGAATTTCACTGGATTTTCTGGGTAATTGAACTATCTTTTGCAAATTTGATCTAGACTTATAGTTTATGCATTCAAGATTAGTTTTGTAGGTTTTGTGTAATTTTCATGTTTAGGTGATAATTGAGGCTGTAGGTGACCATGTCTTCTTCAAGTTCGAATAGAAAATTGATCTCGGTTGGAAACATGGACTCTCCCAATCTGAGCGACAAGGATAGGGTGGCAAGTAAGTATTGAAAATAGGAGTATAATTTAAGCATCAATCGATTGAAGAAGCATTTAGCCAAAATTAGAAAAGATGGAGCACCATGTACTCAAGTGCGTGCAGATACTAGGAAAGACAAGTTGGATCATTTACAATTAGGTCCAAAAGAAGAAGAAAAAAAAACTATGTTGGAAGCAGCGGGGCTGTTTGAACCAGGATATAAGGCCCCTACACCTTATGAGCTCAAGAGCCCTTATTAAAGGAGATGGAGCTCACATATGAGTACCTTAAGACCCACAGGCCAAAAGGATAAATGGGGCAAGAGTGCTGCCACCATAATGAGGGATACATGAACCAATAAGCCAACTAGAAGAATTTTGAACTTAATGGTGAATTGGTATGAGGACTATTTCTGGAAGCATCTAACAAGATACATGATGCAAAATTCATTTTTGATTCAGTAGTTAGTGTATTGAGGAGGTGGGGGAAGCATATGTGATGCAAGTAGTTGCTAACATGGCTAAGGCCAATATGGCAGCTGCTAGACTGTTGGAGATTAAGACGTTGAACACTTTTTGGACACCATGCATTGCACATTGCATTGACCTCATGCTCATAGCAATCAACAACATGAAAAGTGGTGGAGGGAATACTAAAGAAAGCAAGAACTGTTTTCATATATACCCACACCAATGCCTTAGTCGTGAAGATGACGTACACAGAAAATAAAGATTTGGTGAGGACAGGGTCACAATATTTCATACTTAACTTTGAAATCTATTTGTACCAGAAAGTTAGGCTCAAAAGCATACTTGTCTCTTCAGATTAAAACCAAAGTGATCCAATGATACAAAGGGAAAAGAGGCATGTGACATCGTCATGACACCACAATTTTCGAATGGGATCCGCTACTGCCTCCATCCTTTTGAGCCACTTGCGAAAGTTTTCTGCCTTATGGATGGTGAGAAGGAACCATCAATGAGGCATATTTACAAGGCAATGGAAGCTGCAAATGAAGAGATCAAGAGGAACTTAAAGAATGACGAAAGCAAGTATGCCGTTATTTTGAAAGTTGTAGAAAAACATAGAATTCATAGCTGGAAAGGGCCCTTCACCAAACAGGGTACTATCTCCACCATGCTTGTTACTATACTGATCTTGAGATAGAGTCTACGGGTCGTTTCATACAAGCAATTAACTAGTGCAATGTGAAACTCAACCGTGCTATGGATGTCCAAGACAAAGTGTCCATGGAGCTTGACACATATTGATACTGAACGATGACACTTGGGACTGATGTCGCAATAAGCCAAAGGATAAAAACTAATACATGGAGGTGAAAAATCATTTTTTGATTGTGCAATTTAGGTACTTATTTCTCAGTACTAACTTAAGTTTTAACTTGACTTCAAAATATGCTCATAGATGCAAAGTCTAATTATTTGTAATGTATTGAAGCTTCATAGCAGGCCAATCATGGACAAAGCATGAATCAGTTGTAGAAGATGGCGCAATCATAGACAAAGCTTGCATCACATTGAATTTTGTTGTTTTATGTTGTGACTTTATATGAGTTGAGTTGTGACTAGTAATGGAATATTGATATGTATTGGTTGTTGAGACTTTTTGCATAATTGATGAAGTTTGGGCAATTTTCACTCATTTAAAAGTTTTTGTCATTCAACTTCAAGTTTCAAAGTCATGTATGATTAAGTTTGAACTATACAATATAATAAGGAAAAGTATACAAACAGACCATTTACTTGAGGTCAGAGTCACACTTGTCCTTTAGATTTCAAATCAGGTGGTTGTGAGTATGTCATTAGCTAGAGTCAGTTCCAAAAAAACTTTCTCAAACTTTATGACACACCCCAAGCCATCCAATTTGACATCCAATGGCTAGGAGTAACTATGACCTCCTTGTAAGAAAGATAAATGGTCTCATAGCATACAATCCCATAAAATAACACAAACGATAACTATGAAACAATGCTTTTAAATAAAATAAATCTTCTACAGACACAATCAGGGAGGCCTCCCAAATATCATCTTCAATGGCCTAGAAGCGCCCTTTTTTCTACAGGCAGCCACATATTTGGGAACCCGCCTAGGAGGCCAGGACCACTAGCCACCTAGGAGGCCAATGCCTCCTAGCTAACAGGGGCCCGAATCCGCCTTCTTCAACACTTTAACACGAAAAATATGTGTTGTGATTCAAAGAAACAAGTGATCAATGAAATAAGAGAAAATTTAGTCAAGGAACAGAGCATACCCCAACTGGTCCCGTAAGCAGCATAACATTTTTTAAAATGGTTTCTTTATCCAAGCTACCTACATCAAAATCTTCTTCGAAACAGCTATAGTCGTCATCATAAATGTGACATCTATAATCCTTTGTAGGACCTTTATAGGTTTCTCGATCCCAACCACGCCAACAGTTCAACCACTGATTCAGAAATCTAACTGATTCACTATTACCACAGACCTGCCAGATCAAATATTTTATAATCACCAAAATTTTAAGGCAATATCTCAGTAGATAGAAAATCAGAAAATGCATATGGACATTAATAAATGCGTATTCGTAAGAGCAAACATGTACGTTTGTACATGTCATAAATATTATTTCTAACCTCCGAAGCAGATTCTGGTTGATATTTATCTGTCCACAAGCTACAACTTGACCTCCCATTCTTGCAACGAAGATAATATGATGCCATCCTGGAATCACAATATAATCATGAAAGTTTTTAAATTTTAGGGACAAATATCAGTAAGTCGAACAAATAGGAAAGAGTGAATTGACGTTTAAATAGCACCCTTAAATCTAACATGAAGGTAATTTTGAATTTGCAGAATTACACCCAGAATCTTAATGAACATCATGGTCCAAAGTATGGAATCCCCACAATTTTATGCAAAATATATTAGCAATCATCAGTAGAGAAAACTATAAACTAAAAACTGAAGCTGAGGAAACAAGCCATCTACTCAAGACTTGTGCAACCCAAACAATTAATCAAACTGCCTCATTAATCTCAAATAAAATAAAACAGTATGTCCAGAGAATCATCACATATGAAGGGAGTAGAGCATAGTAGCTGGAGAGAGAGGCTGAGATTGATTCATAGCAGAAGTGTTGTAGTGCCAGGGGCACTTACATAAGGTGTACAAGATAAAATCTTTTACATGAAACTCAAAAGATACATATACCTTTCAAAATTTACAGCTAGGTTACCTTGGGGAAATCAAGGATTACGCATATGATGCTCAAAAATAAGACATGTAGAACTTCAAAGACCCTACACATAGGCCCCATTCACTTACAAGGAAAGAACTCAACAAGACCGCAAGAAAATTACCATGAAACTCAATACAATCAAAACCTAATATAACTCTTCTTCATTGATACAAATTACATAAACTCTTGAGCTCAATCCCTAACATCAAACAAAGACAAGTAAATGCACACGTAAATGATTGGCACGGGAAGCCGATGTATGAGGTTCTCAAGGTGCCGGGAGAACCCTTACGGACTTAATTACAACCCCTGTTACAACTATCCGTGATAGCGCAAGATATTAGGGCATCAATTCAATCATGGGAAGCAAGCATCATTAAAAATCAATACCCCACTGTGATGCATTGTACCCTTGTCAAGAACTCAAATGGAAGGCCTCAAAATGAACCATGTGTGGGTAAGAAATTGTGAGAACAATGCATGGGAGAAAAGAGAGTGAAAACTAGGCATATGTGCAAGGATTCAAAGGCATTAGTGCTAGAAACGATCTAGTATGCAAATGGCTTCAAGAGAAGGCTACTATGAGGCAAAAGAAACAAGATAGCTCACTGTTATGGCCTTCGGTACTCAGAAAATCTAGCAAGAAAATACCCACAAGATCAAGGAGATAAGGTGCCCAAAACTACACAAGGATGCTAAGCATGTAACACCATTAACCATAACTTTCAATGCATGAATAAAACTCAAATAATGGACCAAGGAAGGACTATATTCTTACTGTTTCATTTGATGCTTACATTATTAGAGTATACTAATAATCTCCACAGCTTTACATATTTACAGTAACTATGACGAACTAAGAGTTCCATTTTGTAAAGGTATGGCTAAGAGAATCTATGATAACCATTCAACAACCCCGACATCCACCCTATCTATCAGGTCATTCCCAATAAAATTTCAGAAATCCTACAAATCCTTGGATTCAAGAAATTTGCCAATTGTAGAAAATCCTTTTTAAATGACAACACTACTCATTTGACATGGCATTGAAAAGTCCAAAAATCCCTTTGAGGAGAACGATGAGCTTGAATGGAGAAAAGGAAGGTATGGAGAAACAATAGAAACTGGCTAGGTAAAATCATAAAAAAAAAAATTAATAGGAGAAGGATGGAAATGGTACTACAAAAATAATAACTACTAAGAATAATAATATAAGTAATAAAGTTAATGGCTCCAGCTTTCTACGAACCACCACTAATGTAACATTCCAGAAGCATATAGAAAGTAGTACAAAAAATATGAGTGTTTATGGGCAACATCAAAAGCAAATCCCACATACAGCCAAAACAATACGAAAGCAAAGTTAAGTGCACACTAAACATGAATACTAACCTTTCATGAAGAAATTCTTCACATGGCTCATTCCCTGTGCTCCATCTAGAATCAACACATCCAGATACCTATAAAAGAAATAGATGCAACAACGAAATTTAAAAAACAAACAAGAATTCTGTAAATCCAGAACAACTGAGCACATTGATCTTATATGCCATTAAGGAATGAATAAAAACAAAGACACATCTTGCATATAAAGAAGTTTGAATATCTTAGAACACGTACCGCATGCAAATATCCTAAGAGCTGATCAAGATTTTCATTCCCTTCCATTGATATCGAATGATCTACTACTTGATCATATGTCACCTTTGCTTCTTTAGATACAGAAGGGTCTTCTGTTGACAATACCAAGTGATCTCCTTCTGCATCATGCAACTGATAAAAGGGTACCTCTTTCTGAGGAAACAAAATTCTCTGAAAATTGGAAGAGGAAGGAATCTTATCAAAGTTCAAGGGCTCCACAGAACCTTCAAATACCGATGAACAAGAATTTTCCAAAGCAATATGATGGCGGCCAATGGAGTTCAAAAACGGCTGCTCCAAAAAGTTCCACTTTTTCCAATCTAAAAGAAAATATTCATCCTGTCAAAAAAAAGTCCCAAAAATAAAATTAGTTACAAGTCAAATCAAAAACTTTTCAGTATATAATAAAACAAAGAAACACACTTACTATTTGCTAAATCAAATATACATTTTAAACCAACATGCCTGTTTTGTCCCATTTATGTGTACAGGAGGATAAGGCATGATCTCTTCATCTTGTGGGAGAGTTATGTCTTTAGTTCCCACTTCAACTGCCTCCTTGTATATCAGGGATCTTTTAATCGGCTTCTGGCAAGTGAAGAATGGATGTGTTTTCCTTCCAGCAAACAGTCGAGCATTTTCCTAAGAACCAAATGAAGTATGAGTCAACAAATAGGGTGAGATGCCACAAAGGTGGAATGCAGATAGGAAACATGTATAGGTTCATGGACCATTATGAAACTAAATTTCTGACTAGAAAGAAAGCATTGGAACATTCCTAAAGCAAAGAATTATATGCCACACTTTATCAAGGACATAATGGCATGTATATTAGTATAGGAGTTCCCGACTAAGATCCAGAAAGAAAGCCTAACATGAAGATTAGTTAAGAATCTTTGGTATAGTATATTGACTTTAAAATTGCATGGATGAATTACATTATATATCTTCTCAACAGATGCATGAAAAAGAATACATCAACCATATGATCATATCATCTAACAAACATGAATGTTAATGAAAATGGAAGAGATCTGCCTTTAAAACTTTTCACAAGCAATTAAATTTGGAACCATATTTAATCAAAGAAGATTGAATAAGTCAAACATTAAAAAGTAAAAGAAGAACCTGATGAACTTGTAAACACTTAAAATCCCAATTCTAGGGCACAAAGGAGTTAATTGTTGCCCAAGAAAAAAAGTTGGTTATCTGAAAATAATTGGAAGAAGACAACAGTAAAATATCACCTATGATGTGAATCAACTGTGCATTGGTGAGGAGAAAAGCTCAGAGTAAGAGTCAAAATGTTAAACTCAATTGGGCTTCAAATTGGAAACCTGGGCAACGGCAGAAGACTCCCCAAATGGAAGTTCCAGAGCCAAAATAAGTGGTCCATGGCAATACCAAGAACAGAAACAGATTTACCTTGAGTAATGTCACCTTCAGCTAATTGTGGTATCATATCTATTAGGAGTGGCAACATTAACCTGATTAAAATTCCCATGGCAATCCACAGTACATACACCTTGATGAAGACAGAACAATGAAGAAAAGGAAACCAACCATGTCCTCGACCTTTTTCTGAACAATAAAAAAGGGTTCCATGTCCTCTACCTCTATTAGAAACATGCAATCCTCTAAATCTATAATGGTACTTTGCATTCCTCCTCAGGTAGCAGATGTTGGATCATCCAAGTTATTGGTTCTAAAGGGCAAAATACACATAACTCGCTGACAGTTATCTTCTTGTGTAAGATTGCGAGAAGTTGATCTATGGAAAGGACAAAAGGGAGCCGCACTTGAACTTCGATCACCTCCAAGTTCGAATCTGAGACCAGCAAGTAATTTGAAGACCTTCTTTTTACCTCGTATTTTTGCCTTAATACTTGAGTCGCATAGATCTAGACTCACAATGCGCACAGTAACCATCCGATAGAAATCCAGACCTTCATGTATTATTTATAGCTTGTATTAATAGGCAGTCAAAACTTGGCTCAATTCTAGGTAAATCCAGATGATATGTCCATATATCATTACCTTTGGCTGTACATATTCTCAGTATGTTCCCGTACAAACATGTTGTCTGCATCCATGTAATGCTTCAGGATATCACTGCTCCACAGTTAAGCAGTCAGGAGAGCACAAGTTTATCAGGAACAGACCACTGACTGAACCTGTGGATGCTCGGACAAATTTCAACTATCGAGAGGGAATCCATTAACCCTCATATAAAGATATATGTTTAATACATGTGACCACTAAAAATAGTTTTTCCTGTTGTCAGGATAAATCCAACTCATTCTTCGAGATCCCATGCTATCACCGTATCTAGAAGGAAAGTACACCGTATCTAGAAGGAAAGTACATGGCTGAGGCCAAGTTTTCTAAAGGTGTATTTATTGAATCTCCAGAGCAATTGTCCATGAATTAAATTCAGATTTAAAAATAATTGAAAAGCTATAGATATACACCTCCACGACTCCAAGTCAAGAAAAATTTCAAAGAAAGATCGATGATGAGAAGATGCATTAGACATACATGAATATCTAACCCATTTGCTCCTCAGGTCCAAACACGGTAAATCAAGAAAGCCTACATAACTTATAGAATCTGAAGCCAATCAACATGAAACTGTAATGGAGAGCCAAGCATACCAGGGTTAACATGTGCAGATTAATAATGGGGCTATGTGGGAAGGTTCACATATAGACAATAAATGCCTAAAGAAATCATGGCCCAAACACAAAAAAGAGAAAAATAACAGATCTCTAGGAAATATGATCACTTTGAAAAGAACAGGAGCACTTATGGATCATCCCACCACCCAATTTGACATGTGTAATAGCGCCTATGGATCATCCCACCACCCAATTTGACATGTGTAATAGCGCCACACCCAAAAAACCAAGATTCTTCGCATTCAACCGATCAGATTAAATTGTACAGATCTCATCCATTTTTCAAAGGATGGGATAGATGGATGGTGAATAACCTCCCACCTGCACAAGCAAGCTTTGACAGAAAGATTCCCTTCTCTCTCTTCTGGGTCTTTCTTTTTCTCCATGGGTGTGCTCATTGAGTACAGGGGTGTTCCTCACACACTGATGGCAAACCCATGGTTTTGTTATATGGAAGCAGAATTTGGACACTCAGATGAAATTGTTTTCATTAACTCAACAGGCTACGCATATGAGAGATATGAATGCAATCTGATGAAGTTAGTTTCCATGCCTGCTAATAAATCACAAAATATAAAGAAATGAACAAATGAAAACACCCACCATATAATAAGAAATTCATGACTAACAATATATCTGTGGCCAGCTCTGTATACACGAACGGTCAATAGTGTATGAACTAAAAAGGCAGTATAGTCATTTTATGTTCAGGGAAATTTTAGTCATTTCACCGTATTTGATGCTGGTATAACCTTCTTATAGACAGATTAATGAAACAATCGCATGATCTCAATTCATATGTTTGCATGTTTGACAGTAACTTCACAAGAGAAAAGAGCATCAACCATGGCTCGTTCCTCACAAATCATGTCACAGATCAACCCCGACTTTTTACATATGCAAAACATTGCAAAGTCTCTGTTTGAAAACCTGTTAGAGAGGCTCCAGTTGAGTTTTACACACATGATAAGAGTCCTAACAAGAGGATGTGGATTTTTCATTCGAAGATGACTAACTTGAGGTAAGGATATTCCAACAATCAATAACTGACAGTCAAAGCTTTAGCTCATTCCACAGGACAGCAGTCGACTAAATGATTAAAAGGGGAGACAGGGGATAGCCCTTATCCCAAAGAGATCAGTCCTAGGTTGCAAGTACAAAAATTTAGGATGTCAATAAACGATTTCCAGTGAATCATGAACAGTATGCAGACTCATCAAGGAAGAGACTCCCAGTTTAGAAACTTGGCTTCCAATTGTAGGCAAAAATTTCTCTAGACAAAGTTTGGCCCTACATTCACTATTTCTTCTATTATCAATGCCACATCGAAGCATATTAATGCATAAAAAGATGATGACAGATGTAGCCACTTATATCAATCATACAAGCAAGCATAGAGAAAATCAGTGTAGTTTATAGAGAATAAATTAATAATTAAATAGGGAGGATGCAACTCTCTTCACATACTTCTGCTGCCATCTTTGCCTCCATCCACAGGTCACAAACTAAAGTTGGCGCATTACTTTGGCTTTGAGTTCCTAAGTCAATTGCATTCTCAAACTTATCCCGTGTCAATTTCCTCTTAGAGGAATTTCTCTTGGCACCATTGGAAGTTGAATCAGGTTCAATTTTTTGTTCCTTCAGTCGCCGACACTTTTTCTTCCCTAGTACAAACAAATAAACCACATAAACAGTAATGCACTAGCATCGTACTATTAAAGCCACTAATCGGAAATCTCAACTTACAAAAGATAGCTTATAACATGTAATCCATTGCAGAAACATGTAACAATGTAGAACTGCGAACTCCTCAAAGACTAGTACCATTCAATCTTCATCCGATATACTGCTAGCAAGAATGATGGCAACCATCCAAAACAAAGTTTCCTTCATCAGTATGAATTTTGAGATGCAATTACACCTTTCAGCTTTACAAGTTCTTCTGATAACGGGGTTTGGTTACCTCTATGATAGAGTGGGTTTAGATTTTAAAGAGAAATTGTTGCAAGAGTGATTTAAAGCACATTATTCTGATTGTTGGAATAGAGAACAGAAACATGTTGGAATAGAGAACAGCAATTACATGAACAATTACAAGATTTCATTCTATTTAAAGACTATTTGAACCTCTTTCAATCATGGACAAGATCTTAGTCTCTCATAAAAAAAATCTCTCCTACGCCCAAAGATTCTCTCTCCATCACACCATAGATTCTCTTTCTTCTCCACACCAAAATTTTCTCTCCCTCTCAAGAGTTTTTTTTGAAGTCATGTGCCTCCCCTCTTTTTCCCCTATAGGGACGCTTGCCACCCTCTCTCCTCTAATTTTTTTTGTTTCACGCCACCCAAAAGAAAATATAGAGGTGATGCTATAGTGAAACCCTAGAGCAAGGGTTTGTTGTATTTTGAGTAAAGAAGAGAGAAGCCCAGCATAGAGAAAATTAACTCACAGATTCAGCCCTAATTTGTTCACCTAGGGTTTTTATAAACCCTAGTTGATTTTGGGCTCTCTAAAACCCTAGAAAAAGAAGTATTGCTTACAAAGCTTCCCTATCTCAGAATTTCTAACAATACCTTAAGAAGTAAAAGTGCGTCATTAGTCAAAGAATCATGTATTGGGTGTACCAAGTTCTAGTAAGGTAACTCCAGGCATCTTCTAGTAAATCTTCCCAGTAGTTTTAATTAATTTTCAGTATTATTTCCTATTTTCTATGAATTTTCAAGAACTTATTTTGTGCTAAAAATTATGGTGAAAGTTAGTTTAAAGTTCCTAGATAGTTTCTATTTCTCTTGACAGTAAAAACAAATACCCTAGGTTGTATCTAGTGCATTATTTTAATTCTACAGCAACATATTGTGACAAATGTAAGGGGAATTCAAGTATTTGAAATAAAATTTAAAGAAAAAAGTTTTGAATTTAATACCATGAGTTCCACACAGCCACACCTTTCAGTTGATAGGGTTGATAAATGCATTGTTATCGGATCACCAACATGAGTGGTGATGCCACTGGAGGATTGCAATCCCATGTTCTCGACGCATAAATCAATTTGATCACAATCCCATATTGGGTAGTGTGCAACTTCAATCCCTTCGTATCACACCAACTATATGTAGTGCATTTTCCAAAGGCCAAAAGAAAATAAGGGGTTAAACACGATCCTCTCAAAACTAAATTAAATGAAAGGAGTGGTGTGGTCCCATATTTATTTTCTTTATCAGCTAAAGATGTGGGTAATGAATGAGACTTGAACAGGTCAACCTTCTGACACAGAAGAAAAATTCAAAAAAAAATTAGTATTACTTTTTTTTTCTTAGAGATAGCAAGAGATAAATTAGAAGGGAGTTGAGTTTTAGGTGCGAGAGTTGTTTTGAGAAGCCTTATCTTTAAACCATGGAAAATCATGGGATAGGTAAGGGTAATCTTCAATAATCTTTTTTAGGGGTGGACTCCCTTGCAAACCTAGAGAGAGGGTATATTCTCTCAAATTTTTATTTTTGCCTTTTTTATGGTTTATAATTATTTCTCCCTACATCAATTGGTATCAGAGCAAGTAATATCCAGCTATGGACGATCGCCTGGGACAAAGTTTAGAAAATTTGACCAAAGTCATGAAAGATGTTCGAAGCGAAGTTCGTGAAATGAATCAGAGGATGTGACAATTAGAGAACACTATTCTTCGAGAAGATGGTGCTCGCAATCACATATATCTAGTGCTAACTTTTACCTTAGAGACAAAATTACCTCCACAATCGATTCCAAATGTCAATCTCATATGTAACCAAAAGATTGTGACTCAAGAAGCACAATCTAAAGAACATCCACAAAATCTCAATATCAAGATCAATCTTCCAGGTTTATATAAGGGGTTTAAAAAAGGAATCAAGATTATGATTGGTTTCTTTAAGTTCCCTCATAAGCTGCACATCAAGTATTTGATTTATGAGTTCATTGAAGAAGAAAAAGAACCGAGATGAATGACGTGATTACATCACCAACTTTTGAGAAGGTATTTGAGTTCGATAATCTCAAAGTCAAGCTTCTCCCAACCCAAGGAAAATGTCACAAAAGAAAAATTTAAAAAAAAAAAATTGGTATTATTTTTTTCTTAGGGATAGGAAGGTGTGGGGCGTGAGTTTTTGGTGCGTGAGTTTTTGGTGCGTGAGTTGTTTTGGGAAGCCTCATATTTAAACCATAGAAAATCATGGGATAGGTAGGGGTAATCTTCGAAAGTCCTATTATCACGGACTTAAGAAATTTAGTCAATTTTTATTAGAGATTTAGGGGGCATCACATGGGAAGAATGAGAGATTTAGAGAGCATCATGTGGGAAGGAGAGATTTAAGGAGATCTAGATATGGGAAACGATAAGGGATAATGATTGAGGAAAGGAGGAAAATAGATTTCCCAAAAAACAAACAGAGGAAAATAGGACGTGATAGAGAGAGAGAGAGAGTTTTAGGGCGTGGGAGAGAGAGTTTTAGAGAGACAAAATTTTATTTTTTGGATTCTTTTTTTTATTTGTTTATTTTTTAAAAAATCTATGTAAAGGGAAGAAGCCCCTCATTGTAAAGAGCAGAGATTGGATTTGAGTAAAGAGTTGATCTTGTGAAAATATCTTTTTTGGGGTGGACTCACTTGCAGACCCAGAGAGAGGGTATATTCTCTCAAATTTTTATTTTATTTTGGCTAACTTATTATTATTTCTCCCTGCATCAGTTGATATCAAAAAAACAAAAAAAACAAAAAAAAAAATTTGAGAGAGAATATAACCTCTCTCTGGGTTTGCAAGGGAATCCACCCCAAAAAGATCTTTTCACAAAATCAACTCTTTACTCAAATCAAATCTCCACTCTTTACAATGAGGGACATCTTCCCTTTAAATAGACGTTAGAAAAAAAATAAACAAATAAAAAAAGGAACCCAAAAAATAAAACTCTCGTTCTCTCTCTCTAAAACTCTCTATCCCATGCCTTAAAACTCTCTCTCTCACGCCCTATTTTCCTCCTCCTTTCCTCAATCTTTATCCCTTGTCTTTTCCCATATCTAGATATCCTTAAATCTCTCGTTCTTCCCAAGTGATGCCCCATAAATCTCTCTTTCTTCCCACATGATGCCCCCTAAATCTCTAACTAAATCTCCCAAGTCCATGAAAATAGGACTTTCGAAGATTACCATGACCTATCCCATGATTTCTATGATTTAAAGATAAGGCTTCCCAAAACAAATCACACACCAAACTCACACCCCACCTAACTTATCTCTTCCTATCCAAAAACTAAAATACTAAAAAAAAATTGAATTTTTCTTCTGCGTCCCCTTCTAAGATACATCTACAAGAAAGAGAAAGAAAACAAGAACCTCATCTTCTCTGTATATGCCATATGATAACTACATGCCATATAATAGCCCACCCCAATTTCCCATTTCTTATCAGAAAACCATTAATCACACAAAAGATATGTTATTAGCCCTTGATTTAAAATATAATGCTATTAGCCCTTGATTTAAAACATAAAAGTCTCTTTAGATGTTATTTTCTATTGCCATTATGAAATAATGAAATGAGTACCATGTTTGTGGCATAGTTTTTCTTGTGAGGTGGGGAGGGGGTAGGGGGGAGCATTGTAAACTTTTAAGAACAGATTGTTAGCTTGGGTCATTTGTGAAAGTGTGAGGGCATACTAAGCTGACACATATTGAAGTAGAAAAAGCAAAGTATCTGAAGGACAAGTGCTGCATGTGGGCTCATGATTCAATGCTGACTAAAAGAAGTTAAAAGGTACCTCCTTATAAGAAAACCTTGCTCAAAATTGTGGGTGAAGCAGGTCCATATACTTGATATCTTTCTTTTTTATGTATCTTTCTTTCACTATGTCTACTTGTATTGCGCAAATTTCGGTGTGGGATTTCAATTAATTTGAGAGTAGGCTGGAACTTTTCTAGACAGAAATGTTGTACAGTACACTCTCTAAAATATTGAAGAGAGTACTCTTCCTTAAAAGAGCAATGCGAGGCTTGGCAAGTTCGTCTCCTTATCTCTTAGTGTTAAAAACAAGAATTAGATGAAAGAAGAGGATATGTACAATAGACATTTGGCAAGAAAAGAGGTAAAGACTCTCTCTAACTTTGCATTGCAACCCAAAATGTAGATAGCAATACTTCCTTGGATGTTTTCCCTACAACCTTTTTGGGTTTCGCCGCATTAAATCCGGTATTCGCACTACAAGCATGTAGATAGCCCCTTTGAAATTTGGCTAATAAAATTCCTAGAAACATGTAATTTTAAGCCCTAGGGACCACACTAAGCCGTTTGAACTATAGTACACCTAAACCCTAAGAAGACCCTTCAATACTTACCCAAATTTGACTTGAACCAAGCCTAAGTTGCAGGGGAGATCTCAAGCTTTCCAACGGTCCAAGGATCACTCAAATTCAATATACCGTTTGGAAGTTATGGCCCAGACAAAATTTGTTCAAAAACACTGCATCCAAGTCTTGGATGCACGACACGATATGCGTAGCGCAAGACCTGTACGCATCACGGTGTGTCGAGGGCCCATGGACCCATAAAAGGCGACATTGCCTAGGCCCATTGGGCCCATAACACACCAGATGCTCCTAGATAAGCCTTTAGAGGCGGTTTTGACTAAACATATAAAC